AGTGGGTTTCTGGTAATTTGCACAGAAGCTGAGCCCTTGTGCTACAAAGTGCTGGGTTCTTTCTTCCAGGTGTCCTGGGCAGTACAGAATGATGATGCTGAATGTTGTCGAGAAGCTCATTCAGGATTTCTGGGTGGACTCCCAAATCCTCCAGATCATATTAGTTCATTAGATCATGTTGGGTCTTTCTCAGTTGAGAAATTGTTATATTTTTTTGAAAGCATGGCAGTTGAATTTATAATAATATGAAGGATTAAGAGGGAGGATGAGGAAAAATTATTTTCTCTTGTCACAAATGCCTTTAATTGAATTTTAAAAAGTCTGTTTGGAAGAGCAAGTTAAAAGTTAGAATGTCGTAGAGATGTGCAGACAGTTCGACATGGTCAAAGTACAGATGGATCTAAGATGCTTTGAGGACTCCAAGCAAAATGAGCTGTGACGAACACTTGCTTTGGTTCATTTTATGTGTCAACCCGGCTGGGCCACAGTGCCTACATATTTGGTCAAACAATATTCTGGTTGTTTCTGTAAGAGTGTTTTTGGTTGAGAGTTACATTTAAATCAGTGGACTTGGGGTGAAGTGGAGTGCTCCATGATGTGGGTGGGCAGGGCCTGAAGAGAACAAAAGGCTGACTAGAACAAAGAATTCCCCTGAGCAAGAGGAATTGTCAGTCAGACTCCACAGTCAATCTAATCAATCAATCAATCAATCAATCTATCTATCTATATCTCTATCATCTATCTATCATCTCTCTATCATCATCTATCAATCATCTATCATCTATCTGTCTCTATCATCTATCTTCTATCATCTATCTATCATCTATCTATCTATCATTATCTATCTTCTATCATCTATCTATCTATCTATCTATCTATCTATCTATCTATCTATCTATCTATCTATCTATCTCTATCACCTATCTACCTACCATCTATCTATCTATCATCATCTATCTTTATCTCCTATCGGTTCTGTTTCTCTGGAGAATCTTGGCTTATACAACTACTGAGGAAATTTCAAGTACTCAAATTTCACCGTTAACCATCTCCACCCACTCACCCTCTCTGTTCTTCAGGAGCATATGGCTGTAGATGCCTCCGGGGATAGTTATGAAATGCCTGATTGTTTTGTTTTTGTTTTTATACTGCAGCGGCCAGCAGGATGCCAAGTCTTGGTGAAAAAAGTTTACTTTGGGGTTCGTAAAAAGAAGCACTTAACTCACAGGGCAGCTGTGAGGTCAGAAAAAGGTGCGGAATGGCAGAAGCACACTGCAGGCTGTGGAGACAGCAGGCAGGTGTTAATGATTCATTAATTAAAAAGCTACTGACTCTGGCAAGGTCTCCCTTGGCCCCTGGCCCTCCCCTCAGCCCTGCCTTTTCTCAGGATGTGTGAGCCGCTTGTCCATCTGGGACAGGCTGTCACTCCTCTGTCTCCGAGGGCAGGTCTCAAGCCATGGGACTGTCACTTTGCAGCTTTGCTCCCACACACAGGCTTGCTGTGTCCACATTAAGCTTGTGAAAGGACCGGGGGTGAGCGGGGTGGGGTGCGGCTCTGGTCTGGGCGGGTGGCTGTGCACCTGAGTCAGCACTGATCAGGACTCACGGGTGTGCTTGAAGGATTATCTCGGGGCCTGAGAGCCTTTGCCCCCAATCCTCAGCCTCCTCCTGTCACTTACTTTGGGCAGATCTCATGGCACCTCTGGTCCTGGGTCATAAATCAATGACCACAATAATGGTAAGTGATGACTGGCTGGTGCTCACCCTGGAACAAGCATGCAGCCCTAGCAGGAAGGTTCAGAGGTTCCTGTTGGCAGTGATGAAGCTGGAGGGAAGCAGAGCCAGCTGTCCGAATCCCTCAGTCGCTCTGGGGCCCTCCCCCACAAGCATGTTTAAGTCTCCCTTTAGCTCATGCTACACCTTCTCCACCTTCCCTGTCCAGCAGGGCATCTTCTCCATTCCGGTCCTGTGATGTCTGGCTTCTGTCTCTCCACTGCCCAGAACCCCTGCTCTTGGGTCACTGAGGTGATGGACTCCAGTCCTGTCCTGATGTGGCTCCCTGGTCCTCCTCAGTCTCCATGTCCCACCTGCAGAACTGTCTGGAGCCTATGACCAGGTGACCTGTGGCTTGCCTCTCTTCCACTGCCTGGCACCTCTGTACTTACATCTGCAGTGTGTCCCCCAAAGGCCTGGTTCCCGCTTGCCCTCACCCACACCCAGCAGATGGATCAGGTTGCCGCTCCAGCCTGGGCCTCCCCATGCTTTGGTTACTGTGTCAAATCCTGCCCAGCACCAAGGCCCCGCGGGACATCCCTCCCGGAGCCTCCCTCGGTCCACGATCATTTTTGATGGGCATCTTCCCCATCACGTGGTCATCCAGGCTTGAATTCCCAGCATCATCTCAACCCCCTTGGTCTTTTGTATCCAAACCTTGCTCTGTGATCACCTCTTGGTGCCAAATTTCCTGGTGAGACGTCTGTTCTGAGTCCCACAAGCACAGCTGAGCTGTGGAGACCATGGCTCTGGGGTCAGAATGCTGTGGATTCAGTCCTCAGCTGTGCCACTTGCTAACACTGACTTTCCCCCCAAAAAATTTTTGAGACATAATTTGCACACCACAGAATTCATTCATTTCCAGTGTACAAGTCCATGGCTTTAAGCACATTCACAGATATGCACAAGCACCCATACAATCAAGTTTAGAGCCTTTTCATAACCTCCAAATAAAAACTTGTCCTCTTAGCTATCATATCACACAAATGTCCTCCACCCTCCCACCAGCCCTGAGCAGCCACTGTCTCCAGGTATCTCCCTGTTCTGGACATTTCATACTGTCCATATTATCTGAATGGAATCATATAATACATGCTCTTTTGTGGCTGGATTCTTTCACTAAGAATAATGTTCTCAAGGTTCATCTGTGTTGTATTCTATTTCAGTACTTTATTCCTTTTTATGGCCCAATAATATTCCATTGCACACATAGACCGTATTTTGTTTATTCATTTGTCAGTTGGTGAACTTTGAGCTGTTTCCACCTTTTGGCTATTATGAATAATGCTGCCGTAAACATTTTCTGCAAGTTTTTGTGCGAACATATGTTTCATTTCTCACAGGTATATCCCTAGGAATACAATTTCTGGGTTACCTGGTAATACTATGTTGAATTATTTGGGGAACTGCCAGGCTGTTTCCCTAAGAGGCTGCACCATTTACGTTACCAATAGCACTGTATGGGGGTTCTGATTTCTCCACATATGGTCAACCCTGTTATTTTTTACTCTTTAATCCTCAGATGGTGTGAAGCAGTTATCTCATTGTGATTTTGATTTGCATGTCTCTGGTGACTAATGATATTGAGAATCTTTTTATGTGCTTATTGGCCATTTGTTTATCTTCCTTGGGCAAATGTTTGCTGATGGCGACTGAGTTTCGGACTTCTCAGCTTTAAAATGAGACAACCACTACTGATGGAATACTCCTATAGAAAACAAGATGTGGGATCAGAAGCCCTGGCTCTGAACTGGGGACACATGTAGTTGAGACTTGCAACCCCATGTGCTACTGGCTCCAGGGACAAATAGCCCTGTGAGGCCTGGAGGCATGGTCTCTACTCACAGGCTGCTCCGCTCTCCTCTCCCTGCCTCCTGCAGACATGCTTTGACTGCCCAGTGCCAGCCGCACTGTCGGGAAACCTGCAGTGGGTGAAGCATGCTCACAGGAAGGCAATTCATGAGATGAAGTTATTCAAATGGTGTGAGCTGGCATGAGGTGTCTGACTTTCTAGCATGTGGTTGATGTCCTGCACTGAATAGTGTCCCCAAAAAGATATGTTCAAGTCCTAATCCCCGGTGTCTGTAAATGTGACCTTATTTGGAAATAGGGTATTTTTGGATCTAATTTATTAACATGAGGTCCTACTGGATTAGGGTGAGCACTAACCAATAACTGGTGTCCTGAGACAAGGAGGGAAATTTGGACACAGGAACACACACAGGGAAGATGTCCAAGTGACGAGAGAGAGAGAGAGAGACGACTTAGGCCATGACAGCCACCAGAAGCTGGAAGAGGAAGGCAATGATCATCATCTAGAACCTTCTGAGGGTGGTCCTGCCAACACCTTGATTTCAAACTTCTAATCCACAGCTGTGAAATAGTGCTTTTCTATTGCTTTAAGCCACCCAGTCTGCAGCGCTTGGTTTGTCACTGGTGACAGCGATGTGAACAATGTGAAAAGCCCTCGGGGGTAACTCTGTTCCAAGTTTGCTGTGTGTTTGGCATTTCCTCCCGCCATTTATTTATGGGGAAAACTCCGCCCAGTGATACTAAATGAGTAAGACCCTCATTCTATCCTCAGTTTAGTAAGAGAGACACCCTAATACAAACAGTAGCCTCAAGGCCAAACCAGGGCCGAGGAAAGGCCAAGGGGTCGAGGAAAGGCGGACGCTGGGTCCCCGCTGCTCACTTGCAGACTCTGCCCGCAGCTGCCTCACCCGGGCTTGGGCCACCCACGGGCTGTACCAGGTCCTCCCCTGACCCAGGAGGTGCTGCATGAGAAAACCTCAGGGGTCCCCCATGCGGCCTGATTCTGGATCTTGAGGTTTAACTGCTGTGATTATTTTCTCATCCTGCTCATAGGGTTGCAGGAGACCTTTGGATAAAGACAAACGTCTTGTTCATCAAAAGCTGCTCATAGCCACCCCTGCACTCAGCACTAATTCCTTCTTAAGTCTGTGCCCAAAGGTAACTACCTAGCACAGGGCCAGCTGCTGGGCCCAAGTAATATGTTTTAATCAACTGCAGTAAGCTTTTCCATTTTAAGACATTTTAAAGTAGGTGATTAGATTCAAGGTGCCAGGGGTCCAACAGTTTGACGTTGTGTCTGGGACACAATTTGTGAAAATACCCATCATGTATGTATGTTCATATTCCTACCGAAACATCTGGAAATCCCAGTAAAATGTAAAGGAAAAGTCTCTGAAATAGAAGAAAAACCAAAATATGAGAAGAAATGCAGAAGCTTTATTATAATCACTATTTTGAGGTTGACAATGGTGAACTCATTCAGGAAAAGTTTGCATTCAGTGACCTACATACAGCCCATGGATACATGCCAGATGTAGCTAAAATACATGAAAAATGTATCTGGGGAAACAGCACAGTACGTCTGGCTGCAGAACTAAAAAGTATGAAGGATGCACCTTAATTTCTGTAGCAGAGGGTGCAATGGTCTGCATGAGCCTGACCCAGCACTGCCTGTTCAGTGTATCCCATGGCAGTGCTGCCCACCTGATCTGTACCTTCAAAAGTCAGCCTCAGTTTACACCAATGTCTCAGCAATTAAGCAATACCAGTGTGACATCATGGTGCCTTGATAGTTAGAACCTGGCTCCCAGCAAGTCAGTGAGATGGGAAACCAAATGCTGCCTTTGGAATGTGAAGCAGCGCTGTGCTTCTCCCTTAGGGAACAGTGACGAGTGGGCCTGACTAGGTATGTGCTATTTTTACTGGCTGGCAGTGGGTTTGATAAGGGCATCCCAAAGGCTGATGGCATGTGCGCCTCATTGCCAACCTGCAGCAAACGCAACTGCTGGGGAGCAGGACAGATGGGGCTGCACCCTCTCCAAAGCATCTGCTCTGAAGACTTTAAAGTCTGGGAAAACAAGCTCTTTGGCTTTTAAGAAAAAGAGTGTGCTCTGCAGCTGTGAGCCACTGAGCAGTCCAGGGTGGCTATGGGTAGAAGACACAAGCTGACAATCTAATGTGCCCAAATGGACTTGGGCCCAGACTAATGTGCGCTCGGGCAGAAGGAATTCTGGACAGTTGGACTGACTGACTGACAGGATTTTCTAGCTCAAATGGAATGTGGTGTTTCTGCCTTTCCCTAAGGAGACAAAGGGCAGGTTTTTATCTGGTCTTTCCATGCATTCAGTGTTCTTGCTCTAATGTTCCAGAATTAGCTACCGGCTATTCCTCCACCTGGCCAGTGATTACTACAAGCACTCAAAGGCAGTTGTAGAGGGGATTCCTGGAAAATGCAGGTTCCCGGGCAGAGTGTGTGAGGATCATGAAGCAGGACCTGAGTTGGCTCACACTGAGATATCTCATTCCAGAAGTATTCCCTTTGGTGAAACTGCCTGAATTGTAATTTTTCAGCAAGATGCCGCTGGAATAAGGTGAGGTTCTCGTTTTCCTGGGAGAGCTCGGTGTCGCCTGCACAGTGATCCCGCAGCGCACAGGGAGGGAAGGGGAAGGTCCGGGATGCTGTTGCCCATGCCAGGTCTGCTCTGCTCTGCCTTTCTGAAACCCACCACCGTGATTCCTACCCCTCCCCTAGGAGTTAAGATGTTATTGTCCTACTTATTAAAAGCGTGAAATCATTAAGCTTTTCCTCTAATCTGAGTCTAATCCTTCAAATTTGTGCTCTCTTGTTTTTAAGACCACAAAGCCTTCAGGCAATTGCTGAAACAGAACTGAAGTTAGACTTGAACAGCCTCATTTTACTGAGGTCTTGGTAAGTCCTGCTAATGGCCCTTTGGGGGCACAATGATCTCAAATGACACCAACCAGCGCTCCCTGGAAAAAAGGTTTTGTCTGACCATTTCTAATTTTAGACATGGAAATTTAAGGCAAAGGAAGGGTGCTCTGCTTTGTGTCAGACTTCCCCAGGGAGCAGCATCTCGAAGAAGGTGCCAGTTGTCTTTGCCAGGGAAATTCAAAACATCGGGGACTGAGGCACCGCCAGGGGGGACGCTGGGTCCCCGCTGCTCACTTGCGAGGCTGCTGGATGTGCTGGGGCCTCGGGGACGGATGCTTGTCCATGGAGGCGTGGGGCTTCTGGTGGGCCACCTGGGCGGCTGCTGGGGGGAAGTCTTTGTCGCCCTGTCAGGAGACATGGAACGCAATGGCTCACCAACACTGAGCTGGGTTAGCGCCTGAGCAAGGCCCCCTGGTTCTGCACCCTGGGCTTCCCTGCCGGGGGCTGAGGGAATGTGGAACCTCAGCGGCAGGCAGAGGCCTGTCTCCTGGGACTGCGGGGGTCCTGAAGCTCTCTGGGGACTGGAGGGGGCAGTGAGGCCCATGTCCCACCCAGAAGGTGACTGCCCCATGCCATGAGAGGTCACTGAATGACTGACTCAGAACAAAGCTGCTACTGGGTGGCTTTCATCTGCTGGAATTGGTCTTGTGATCTTTTGAACTGGGGGCAAGACAGAACCAAATCCAGCATCTGAAATTCAGATTTGCTGTCGTAGCTGTGAGTGGGGGTTGGGAAGGAAACACAGCACGCAGGCTGAAGCCGTGAGACAGAGCTGGACGCACCCTCCAAGTCCCAGCTGTTGTGGGGGTAGGAACTGCTTTCTTGTGCCAGCAGAGGATGTGTGATGGGGGCCAGGCCCAGCTCCTCATGGGCAGGTTACAGCCATGCGTACTCTGGCTGAGCCAGCTGGCCACGGGTGACCTCAGACTTCCGACAGCAAATGATTTTCTCACGTGTAGCAGACGCACCACCCATCTGCCCTAGGGTCTCCAGATGGCGCTGGGGAGGTGTCCCAGCAATGGCACTTATACATCACATGGTCCATATGTCACACGGCCAGGGCTCAACTATACAGTGAGTTGCAGGACTACAGCTGGCATTAGCGTGCCCCAAACAGGGCTTTGCTGGCGGGTGCTCTGTAGCTAAAACAAAATCTCGGGTCTCACCAGATGAGTGGGCTCTTGAAAAATAAAGGGTGTGACAAAAACCCTTAGATCAGTCCAAGCATTTTGTATAACGGGCCAGACAGTAAGTACTTTAGCTCTGTGGGGTCAGCTCTGCCCCTGCGGCATGACAGCCTCCAAAGATGATAGCTACACGAATGGGTGTGGCTGTGTGCCACTCACACCTCATTCATGGAAGCTGACATTTGAATTTCATATAATTTTCACACATCACACCATATAATTCACATTTCCATTTTTCCAACCATTTAAAAATGTAACCACATTCTGAGCTCACAGGTCACCCGGAGACACTTGGCCTCTGGGTAACCTGCAGGCCCAGGGCCGAGTGTAACTGGCAGAAGGGGAGCAGGCCACTCCAGGTCACGCCCTGTGCCCAGAGGCCTGCCTGCTGCAGAGGGCCCTTCCTGCAGAAGAGCCCTCTGAGCACACAAGACAGCTAGACTGCGGACAGACGGATGGACAGGGTTGAACGAAGACAGAGGGACCAGGAGAGTGCATGCTTAGGCCGCGATTTGATGAGATGGCTCTTACCCGGGCGATGACACCGGAGATGAACACAGTTGGCTTAGGCGGACTGGAAGACAAGAGGGGAAAAGGCGACTTAGTGGACCAGCTCGCCACAGGGATGCGCGATGGTGGCCTGGACGGGCTGGTTTTAGGGGAGTGTGACCATGGCTGACGGCAGGGGAGCAGGGACGCAGGCCTCTTCCTGTTACTTGGTCACAATGGTCAACTGGCCTTAGGGCTCAGGCCACATGTGAGGTCCTCCACCCGAGGTGAGCTCAGGTGGAGGGCAAGGGAGATGGTAGCAGACAGTGGGTGAGCTGCCTAAAAGCATTTTCTTTTTGTTTTTTGTTCTTCAAATTATAACTCTTATTTGGGTTTTAAGAGGACAGGGGCGTGGGTGCCCCCTGAAGTAGGGGAGCATCAGGGTCACACTGGGGTGATTGCAGAGACTGCAATCCAGGAGCTGCCTGTCCCCTGGACCCCAAACTATGTCCTCAGAGTCCCTGACTTCCAGCAACTTTCAACAGGGGAGACCAGAGCTGGTGCAAAGCTCTCAGGACCCTCAGTGTCAGAAATGTAAGGTCCTTGTGAAGCCACTGTCATTTCTTAACGTCTTCAGTCGTATGCAGCTCATCCCTACTGCTGACACGAGGGGATGGGATATAGGACCAAAGTAATACATGCTCACTGCTGAGAAGCAGACGAGCCAAGCACATTAAAATCTCTAGTAAAAGACAATTACTGCTCGCACGTTGGATTATCCTTCCAGTCTTTCTTCATGTGGATAGACAGACCCACTCATTTTCTTAATAATTCTTTTTTCTTACAGTCATACTGTTTTGGAATCTGCTTTCTGTCTTTAGGATTTGATAAGCATACTTCCACGTGGTTATCCACTTTGTATGTATTTTAAAAATGGCTGCATATGTCATAGCTAAAAACACCAAAACACAGCTCCAGGTAGCACACAGGTGTGCACACCTCTGAAATGCTGAGACCGGAGGTAAGGAGACCCGGGAGCAGCAGGTGAACACAGGGCCAGCCTGGCAGGGACAGCACAATAGGGACAGCTCCAGGAGGTGGACAGTTTTGCTTAAGGCCAGTCTTGCTGGCAGACAGAGTGGAATCTGTCCTGTGAACTACACAGCCTGGCTCCCACCAGGCCGGCTGCTCTGCTTCACTCCTGGGGGTCCCTTGAAGGAAACCACTCTCCTAGCTTGTGTTGCTGCAGGCAAAAGTCCCAGGATTCAGTAGGTTCTCAGTTTACATCCCAAAGAGTTTAGTAAAAGCCCCTGAAATTCCCCCCAGTAATTTTTGTTACTCCATGAGATTAAGAAACTTCAAGTCTTACTCAGCAGCACAGAAATGTCCCCTACATGACTCTGGTTTTATTTAGTTATTTAGCTACAGTGTGGGTTTTTTTCTTCTTTTATTACAAATATGATTTGGCTACAGAATCAACAGCCAGAGATGAATGAGTTCAGCTCAACTGTGAGTCCCCTCCGTAGATTTGTTTGGAATCCACATATCCTGCTGACTGCCCCATACCACCCACGGGCCCGGCCCTCGGAGTGCTCGTGGTCCAAGGGCTTGGGAACCACGTTCTGGATTCTAACATTTATAAATGCTTTGGAAAGGAATATGGAAATAGTATCACAAAAGTTTAAGTTCTAAATGTTCCTTTAAAAATCTAGGAAGAACCTCAAGCAGGGATGGTTCTACTCTGATAACTGAGCACGCAGCATCAGCTTCTAGTGAGGCTGTCTTTTTGTTCTGAGTGTGTGAGGGCTTCAATCATCTCTGCTTTGTACTGGTTTTGTAAGTCAGGGCTCTGAAAGGCAGGACTGAGCCCCCTCCCCTCAGCAAGAACTGGATGAGAAAGTCACCCACAGAGAGTGCATCTAGTCAGAATAAATACACAACGGAGGAGATTAGCTCCCCTACCTAAAGTGAGCTCCAAAGCCCAAAAGGTGGCCAAGGAAGTTTGGGTCATTATATATACATATATATCTATATATACATATATACCTATATATATATTCTCTTTATATAGATATATGTATGTATACATTCACTATTGAAAAGCAGAAAGCAAAAAAAAAAAAAAAGTTAAAATAGTTTGTAATTCTATATTGCCCTGTGCATAAAATACACATTTATGCAGAGAACTGGACTATAAAAAGTTACAATGGAAGTGGAGGCTTATGCTTCGTGGAGGTGTAGCATCTGCCTGCCACGAACAGGGGCACAAAGTACAGCAGAGTCTGCAGCACAGTGCCAGCCTGTGGGGGCCCTTGTGCCCCCAGTGTCCCTTCCTGCTGGTCCCTGGAAGTGCCCAGCCCCTGGGGGACAGCAGTCCCTGTCCGTGGCTCCTGGGAGTTGGGTTTTCAGGAGTCTGCTCAGAGGAGGGTCCTGGGAGCCCCATCACAGCATCCCCCCTCCCCCCATGGCCTCCCTGCCCTCAGTGCCTCTCAGAGGCGACCCTACGCACTCCAGCTACTTCCCTCCAAGCCAGGCCCAGGGTGACTCCCAAGTTAAACACGAGTGAGTTCTAGGGCTTGATCTGAGCGCCTCTCAGGAAATGTGTGTGTGAATGACTATGGCAAGAGGTCATGGGGACCCTGTGCCAGCCCAAGCATGGATGGGGCGGCGGCCCCCCACTTAGCATCTCCCCAAGTGGGCCTCTCAGGGAGATAGTCACATCGTGCCTGCTGAAGGCTGCAGAGACTCTGGGAGCTAACGACACCCCGAAGACAAGTGACCCCTCCCAGCCCAACTCATCCCTTAGGGGTGTCTGGGGACTGTGGCCGCAGACCTATGACCCTCACAGTGCCCACAGGATGGGCTCTCCTCGCTGGGCTCCAGACTCCCAGAAGCACTCCCACTTGGGCCCGGCATCACTGAAGCTGCCAAGTTTTAAAGGTGTGTTGGGTTCCCCTCATCGAAGGAGGACATATCCACAGAAAACATGTGGGGCTCAGCGTAAGGAAAAACGCCTCTGATAACAGCAGGGATGAGGAAAGCTGGGTGCTGGCTTGCTTTGTGGGGAGTTTTTGCAGCATGATACCTGGAATTCACGAGCCATTTCTGGGTCAGGCGTGAGCGGAGGGAACAGATGACAAAGCTCCTAGAACCGTGGCTTCACAATGGGACACATGCACCCCAGGGGGTCCCTTTTCTGAGAAATATGGACATGGTAAATATTAAAAATTAAAGAATTTAATCATCTGTTGACGGACACTTGGGTTGTTTCCACCTTCTGGCTCTTGTGATTAACGATTTTATATTAACATAAATATTAAGAAACAATACTAAACAATTAAGAATGAAAAGTTCAAGAATCCTGTTTTCAAACCTTTGCTTTTTGTAAATGCCTTAGAACATGCACTGTACCTTATCAGTGTCTACCTGGATCACGTTGGTCATGGCGCACGCAACACCTCACGTGCAGTTCTAACACTGAGGGGCCCACCAGGGTCTTCAGGGAGCTGCTTTCTGTCTTTAGGACAGGGGAGGGTGTGGCCCAGAAGCCACAGCACCATACCAACCTCCTGTCTTGGCCACAGTGGACATCCCCAGAGGGCTGATCTGGATGGAGGGGCAGGGGCAGTAAGCTGGCTCCAGTCACAGCAGAGCTGGGGCACAACCAAAGCAATGTGCATTCCTCCTGGGGCAGGGAGGGGGTGATCCTATGGCCTCAAGGACTGTTCTCCAGGGCCGTCATCTGTTGGTGTCAGTGAGAAACATGGGACCAAGAGAAATAAGGAAAAGGGTCTGCAGGTCTGGCACATTTAGGGGGAGGTCCTTACTTTAAGACTGCACTTCAGAAAGTTTAAGCAACATTCAAGCATTGCGCACATTCTTGTCTAGACTGGAGGGGAGACTCAGGCCTGCCTTAGCTCTGGTCAGTTCCAACTAAACAATCCTTGGAGAGATACAGCACAAGCTCTCCCCTCCCTGCCACGCTTGCTTTAAAACCACAGCTAGCTTGGTAACTAATAAATTTTTTAAGTTTACCATTTTAGCCTTTTTAGTTGAACACTCAGTGGCATTAAGGACATTCACAACATTGTGCAACCACACCACCCATTTGCGAAGTTCTCATGATCCTCAACAGGAACGCAGTACACACTGGGCAGTACACCATGTTCCTCCTCCCTCCAGCCCCTGGAGATCCACACTATCTCTGTCCTGCTGTGTCTGGCTCATTTCACTGAGCATAACATTCAACCACATTGTAGCTTATATCAGAATCTCCTTCCTTTTTAAGGCTGAATAATATTCCATTGTGTGGATGGACCACAGTTATTTTCCATTCATCTGTTGACAGACACTTGGGTTGTTTCCACCTTCTGGCTCTTGCGATTAACGATGCTATGCACATGGGGGTATGTATCAGCTTGAGTCTGGCTTTTAGTGCTTTGTGTGCACTCAGAAGCAGACCTGCTATGTCATATGGTAATTCTATGCCTGACTTTTTGAGGTCCTGCTGAGCTGTTTTCCATACCAACTCTACCCTTCTCTTCAGCAGTGCATAAGGTCTCCAATTTCTACACATACTCACCAACACTTGTCATTTTCTGGGTTTTTTTTGAGAGTAGCCATCCTAATGTGTGTGAAGTGGTATCTCACTGTGGTTTACATTTTAAGAATAAGCTTCCTTGCATCAGGGAATAATAAATATCACTCTGTATCGACCATTCATTCAAAGTCTTTATGACATAAAACTTCCCTCAAAAAGTCGTCTTGTCCCCTCTAAAACTGAAAAGGCGGTAATCCACTGTAAGGACATACAGCAGCTGCCTGGGGCAAGGTGATAGAGGCTGGTCTCCTGCACACTGCTGGGCAGAGGCGTCTCTTTTTCACCTAGTGCTCATCAGGCTGGCCTTGCAGGCCCCTGAGCTCCTTTTTCCATCTACAACTAATAGCATCTCAAATTGGTAAATGTTTGTTACTTTATATAGTAAAAACACTTTCTAAACTCCTTGAGATGTGGCAGCTTAAACAGGAATTCAAAAACAAGAGACCTGGTGAGGAGTCCGCACGAAAAGCTGTGCTTGCAAAAAC